GTCACCTGTTTTTTTCTGCTAGATGTCTTACTTTTACCCTTTCATTCATATGGTTTTAATCCTGCAAGTTGAGATGTAAACACCACACAAAATTCTTTGTTCACAATAATAATCTCACACAAAGCAGGAAGTTGATGTAAATATCTATACAGGTCAGCCTTGTGTCCAGTTTCAATGAAGGGAGGCGTGCAATCCCACTGAGTTTTAGCAGCGGCACCGCACGAGGCAAAGTGCAGAGTGTATTATTAGTCTGTGCACTGCCAGCTTTAAATGCATAAACTATAAAACTATATATTATAAAACTACCCTTTAGGAATAAATCTGCTCTGCTTGTGAAATGCTCAGAGTAACAGAGACGCTTGCAATCCGGCTAAAAAAAAAAGAAAAAAAAAAAGCATTTTTATTATTATCATTATTTTCCTAAAAACATAAACAAGCAATGCTTAGCCTGATGGCGGGCTGACAGGATTATAATACACTGGGGGAAACCCTGGATAAACTTGTAGAACTCATCTTAAAGTGTCAATAATAATAAATGTACATACTGTATGTGTGAATAAATTGCTGCATAAGAAGCAATTTAAAAAGAATGAATAAAAAATAGGACAATATTTTATCATTTCATTGCGGAAGTGGCCAAAGAGCCTCTTGAACCGCCTATGGGCTGTAGGTCTGAGGCATTTTGTTAGCATGATTCCTTCATTCTTATAGCTTGATAGGAAGTCAGGTTATTCAAACTGGCCACTCACTCAAATAATTTACCATATTGACTGTGGTAATTGACTGTATTTATAAAAGATAAAAATTTTTCTACACAGAAAGCCCTGACAAACTAATGCAGAAAAAATAAATGGTTTCTCTTCACAATATTTATTTATTTACCATTAATCTATTAGTACAATTTGTTCTTTAAATTGCCAGTTATATTTTTGGGTCTCAGGAGATGACTGAGGGATGGAGAGACTCTGATGTCTGTCTATAAGTTCTGACGGTCCGCAGTGTCTCCTGATTCATTCTGTCTGATATCACTCAGCCCTCCTGTGTCACTGAATGTTGCAGACACCTTTTCTTTTTAAATCGCCCTTATATAACTTCAGCCCAGTCTTCCTACTTACTGTATTTTTGCCATAGGTTTTGCTGCCGCGGGTTGATAGCAGCTCACGTGTTTATCCCACGTCATAACAATTTAGCTGACGTTAATATTTTCTTTGTTTTTTTTTTTTTGGTCATCACACATGTATAGAAATACCGAACAAATTGCACCCGGTATCGGTTCAATACGGTCAACCCTAACAGCCACCTGTCATCTTAGGCTAGCATTATGCTAACCTGAATATATACCACCCTAACATTACTTACCTATTGTCTTTCAACCACTTTGAAAAGCTTTTCTTCATCTCTCCAACATCTTTGTCCCTCACCCTCTTCATTATTCTATTTTATGCCCCAGAGCTTGTTTTTTTTGCTGCCCCATCTTTAGCTCCCTGTTGACAAGTACACTACCACTCAAATTTAAAAGAAAAAAAAAAACGTGCCTCAACATGATCACGAAGGGGCACGTGCTCAAACTACCTATGTGTGTATGGGGAGAGGCAGCAGGGCAACAAGAGGAGTAGTGAAGGATTGGCGTTGGTGCACCTAATGATAAGGCCCTAATCAGTACCATTCTTCCATTTCTGATCATTTCATGCATGCACAAATAGCTGTTAAATACAGAAAATGCCGACTGGAAAAAATCTTCCCACGTCGTTTTGGCGCCCCTTCTGATGCAGCGCCCTTATTTGTTGCATACAGAGCATACCCGCTTTTTGCGCCACTGGTCAAAGGGGAAGGTTAATTGGAGATTTAAGTTAAATAGCTTTTGACTTTGAAGGAAAATCATATTTCTTTCAAAGTCAAATGGTGTAGCAGCCTGATTACTTTAGAGGTTGCTAAAAAGTTGGAAAAAGGCAGTCCTACACTTTATGCAGCTAAGGCCTTTTTGCACCACTTTTTGCAGTGGTGCAAAAAGTGGGTATGCACTGTATGCAACACAAAGGGGCGCTGCATCAGAGGGGGCGCAAAAATGATGTGGAGTATTTTTTTTCTCATCAGCATTTTATGTACTTACCAGCTGTTCGTGTATGACATGATAAATAACAGAAAAATAGCACTGATTAGGCGCCCCTCCCCTCCTGCCAGCCGCTCTCCCCTCTCATACAGGTAACCTGGGCAGAGAACGGGCTGAGGTACGTTTCTATTTTTCTTTTGAATTTGAATTGTAGTAATGCACTCGATAACAGGGAGCTAAAGATGGGGAGGCAGAAAAAACTCTGGGGCACAAAACAGAAAACGGAAGAGGGGGAGGGATAAAGATGTTGGCTTTTCAAAGTGGTTGAAAGACAAAAGGTAAGTAATGCCAGTGTATCAACAAGAGAATTGTAAATATTCAGGTTAACTTAATGTAGTCTAAAAGAGGAGTCTCAAACTCCAGTCCTTGAGGGCCACTGTCCTGCAGTTTTTCGATGTGCCACAGGTACAACTTGGAATGAAATGGCTTAATTACCTCCTCCTTGTGTAGATAAGATCTCCAAAGCCTTAATGACCTAATTATTCTATTCAGGTGGTGCAGCAGAGGCACATCTAAAAGTTTCAGGACACCGGCCCTCAAGGACCGGAGTTTGGTCTAAAATGACAGGTGGTTGTTGTTGACTCCACCCCATATTGAACCAATATGGGACACAATTTATTCCGTATTGCTATAAATGTCTGATAGACACACCTATCACGAACATCTCAACAACAAGTGTATAACAATGACCAAACCAAACACGGAAAATATTAAGGTCAGCTAAATTGTTTTTGCGGGACCTAAATAGAGGCTGGCGGAAGTGGCTCTTAGGCTCACTTATATATTGAATGATGAAATATTACCCTGTTTTTTGTTTCATTGTTTTTTAATTGCCCTGTCAGCAGCATTTTATATGTACATTTATCATTATTGATACTTCAATTAAATACCAGTTGTACAAGTTTATGTTTATGGGAGGGGTGCGGATGACATGTCTGCATACACCTCAGAAAGTATGTCGTTGTGCCCCTGCCCACGAGTTGCACTTTGTACAAGTTGTCACATATCAAAGGTTGGACATTGGAACACTCTTACCCTAGTAATGCTGTCTCTATGGAACAGTCTGTTTTTGACGACATTTATTAAGTCTGTTTTTGCTGCCAGATGCTTTTGCAGCTGTCTAATAACACCTATTTAAATGTGCTGCTGGTCTCTGTCAAATGATAAGATTTATGAGAAATCTTATCTCAGAAGATTTTTCTTATGACAGAAATCTTATGAGATTGTTATATATATTATAATATATATTACAACATATTAATATATGTTATAATAAATTACAATATATGTTGTAATATAGTATGGTAGTCTTCCACAATGGGTTGCACAAAATAGTTAAGGTACAAGCGCCATCATTTTTCTAAATGTTGTATTAGTTCATGAAGTAAATTAAAAAAAAAAACAATCACTATGTTTCATAGAGGTACACTGTTTTAAATTTAAAGGAAGGTATAGAGTGTTTTTTCTCCTTTTATGAAGCAAAGAAAATGTATACTCAAAATGCATATTCAATACTATATTGATGGTTGTGTACAAAGGGTTTTTGCAGAATTCAACTTGCTTGCTGATCTGTTGTTGATTTTGCATCAATAATGTGCATACCCACTTCTGCTTGTTGTAGATTCCATCTTTTCCTCCATCACTTTTAGTCTCTTCAACTGCTTACGCACATGCTGTAGCATACATAACCATATTTATGTGTGAATGTCGGTAGTCACATGTGTCTACATGATCTATACCCTTTAGGGAAGGGTATAGATTTAGTCACAAAGTCCAATAAATATTTTATAATGGTAACATCAACAATGTGTCTCCACTTATCAGGTTGAACTGAAGGGGAGATTGTTTAATGGTTACAACAGTACAAAAAAAGTTAGTAATTTGTGTGTTCTACTATTGTCTGGAAAACTCTAAGAAGGATTTTAATACTGTACTGATCAGTTATGCGCATAATTGAATAGTGTAAGCCTTTCTTACAGTGGCCGCCGTACTTTCTGCTTTAGTAAAAGGTTATGTGAGGTTTTTCCATAAATGTGAATATCTCAGTGAAAAATTTGAAGTTTTACATCTTTTCCTTTGGGATAGAAAGCCAGCAAACCCCACGATATAAGCAGAAATGTTCCGTAAGTAGAAAATAAAAGTTTTGCGAGGTAACGCAAAAGAAAAACAATTCTCCATGTCCCCGAGGGGACATGGAGACTCATAATTATTATTATTATGAGTCTTTGCTTATTTCCAAGCCCAAATGAGTAAGTTCCCGTTCAAAAAACGTTTTGCAAGCGACTATAAAAGGATGATAATAATAATAATAATAAAACAAGCCCAAAGCCGCTTTTAATAATCGGACTTGGCGACAGAAACTCAAAATAGTTCCTGTTTTTCCACCAACAAAACGCGCATCTCCCTCCATTGGTTACATTTCTGTCGCTGCTGATATTGTCGCATAAAGACGTCGGTCACTTTTCAAGACCCGTAGAGTAAAAACAATTCAATAGCAAAAGAAGATCGTAATGCAAAGTGATTTGGATAAGTAACTGTAGTCTGACTACTGGATTAGATTACTCGTTACTGAAAAAAGTGGTCCGACGTCACTGACCAGGACTGAAGCACACGTCGTTTGAAGGACTTGGGACCCGCTGAAACAAATGGACTGACTGCCAGGACATGAGACGGATACTTTCTGCAGTATTCATACGGTTTCATTGTTACTTTTCATAGCAATAAAAAGCAAGCTGAAAACAACAAACACTTAACTAAAACGGTCGACTTAACGCATAATTATTCGAAAGTTTTTAATTCGAACTTGTTCTTGAGGAAGACATCTGGAAGCTACTCTGAGGTGGAATAGGATTCATCAGACACAAATACACACAAGACACCAAGACTTTACCGATTTTCTGCAGACCTTCCAGCCAGATTCATCCCTCCTGTAGCTTAGCAAGCAGTCTGCTACCGCTTTCGCTTTGTGTTCATAATCCATGGCCGTTGTCGGCAAACCGAGTTTATCCTGGACACAAAAGCTTTACACGCAGCTCAGCTGTCGACGCAAAGCTGTCTCTTCTTAGTTCAATCTATCGGAGTCATGTCAAGGCTGAACTGTGTAAGGAAAAGCCGGGTTCTGCTTATGCTAACAGCTACTACCAAGCTAACATGACCCCAAATGAATGAACGGTAGCAACAGCAACGAAGCTGAAGTTGGCTTCCGATTCCAGCTTCCGATTCGGGAAATGGCTAAAGGGCGATTCCACCTAATTTTTGACTACCTTTAATCCACTCTAGTTTTTAAAAAAACTACAACACATAGACTCTTCAAACCTGGGCTGGCTTATTCTGCTCTAATAGCGGAATATTTAAAACTAAGTTTGTGATTTCAAGGAAGTTTGGTCCTTGTTTTGATCTAGGTCATACTAGAACTGCTCTAATTCTGAAACTACAGTAGAAACCTAGATTGGATTATTCTGCTCTAATACCAGAATATGGAAAACCATGTTTGCGATTTGTAAAACTTTCTTCTGATTTGTGAAACTTCAATAAAAGGCTTTTTCTTTTTTGTTTTACCATTTTTTTGCATCTAGATAATATTAGAACTGCTCTAATTTCAGAACCACAACACTCAGACACTTCAAACCTGGACAAGATTATTCTCAAATAATAATTTATCGCCATGACTGGAATTTGTTTGAAGCGTCAAGATGTTTATAGTTCCTATAGTTTGTAAAAAAAAAAAAAAAATAGGTGGAATCACCCTTTAGCCATTTTCCGAATCAGAACCTCGGAAATCAACTTCAGCTGTGTGCAACAGCATGAGGGTCTATGGTGAGAAATGTTTTCCAACTGGTGGAAAATTTCCTGAAATAAATCTTTTCAGATTCCATGTTAATGTATTAAGTTTGGGCTAAGTACAGATTTTTTAGAGAAACATACAAATAATAGTAATCATAATAATTTTCATAAACACTCAAAATAATAACATTAATGTTATCCTCACAACTGTAGGTTCCTGAGTTTGCTGGGGTGTGCTAATTTATGTATGTTGTATAATGGTTAATAAATTACGTTTTGATAACTGTGTTTGATATGTATCCTTACAAGACTTTAATATAAGAGCGCTATGGAAAGATAGTTTAAATCCCAAAGCCCCGTACCTTTGAGAAATGAAGAGAACATTTTTCTGGTAAATTAATTGGTTCCCATGTTTTGGAGGGGACACAAATTATTTCAGGTGGCTAAAATATATGGTTCCCCCTCATATCTCTAGCAAATAAAGAGCAAATGTGTTCAAACATACCTGATTTGTTGTTGATGATGAGAGGAATAAACAGAGAGAAAATCTTGCTGGTAAATTAAGTTGTTCCCATATTATGGAGGGGTATCAGATTATTTCAGGCTGCTGAATCATCCATTCTTTCCTCCCCTTACCCTATAACCTTGGGGAATAAAGAACAACTGTTTCCAAATTCAACACATACACAGTATGTGTTGGAACATTGTGTTTGGTGACTGACTTTTATTTCTACCAGGCTTCGTGAGAATAGTTGGAAAAAGAGCAATTCTCTTGGCGTTTAAAATAACACAAAAGAGCGACAGAAGACCTCCTTTATTTATTTATTTTACAATTTCTTGAACAACAGCTGCCAATTAAACTGAATGTTACAACATTGACATGGTTATATAAGTTGTTTTAACCGAGAAATCGATCAGAAGCGACGTGAAAATGATCAGATCCGCGTCTTTCTTTCACCTCTCTGGCTGCAATGCGCGCTCCCGACGCAGAGGGAACAGATTTTTACAGGGGAACCGAATTTCGCACAAGACCTCGACGGAAAACGGAGCAACAAACTAGATGTGAATCAGCGCCGAATTCACCCTGAACAGTGAAAAATCCAGAAATGATATGAAGGCAGATCAGGTGAAACTGATGAAGCGGACCAGCAGCTGAATGGCATGATCAGTGAAGAAAGGATAATAGCCTACTAATCAAAAGAAACTAAATGCACGAAGAAAAAACATGCAAGAATAAAGTAAGAAGCTTTATTCTTGCATAAATACCTAGGATTAAACCTGTGGCAAGGCCTTTTGAGCAATAATTAAAACAGGGGACTTGGTGTATGGCAAGAACAAACAGACAGTATTTTCAGATTAAAGCTAATAGTGTTGAAGTGCCATGGGTATGTTGAGAACACATTTAGTAGAAATGTATTTAACTGACCATAACAATAAGAAATGTATCATTTATTTATGGTTATAATTAGATTTTATTTAATATATTTATTTCTTCAATATTATTTTTCATGTCAGTGTTACTGTCATGATGCTGTTAAGTGACACCACCACACCTTTAATTTGACTCGTTAGGGTTGATTAAGAACCAGCTTTATTCTTTATTATTTCTGTACAGTAAAACTATTAATATATAGTCTACAACTATTAGTCAATAGACAAAAAAGGTTGAGAAACACTGGTCTACTGACCAGTTACCTGTAGGCCAGTCACCTAAATTCATCTCATCATCTCCATCATCGTCAGCTGAGACGCCATAGCAGTCCACTCACAAACCAGTTTTATAGCCACCCAAGATTAGCAATGTTTTGTCGATTCTGCTCTGTGAACTTCTCATTTCAGTCCCTCCAAACACAATCTCCTTCCGCTGTCATCCACCGGGCATCCAGAATCTCCTCCTCTCTGATGCTGGAAACTACAAACTAACTTAGCGTGGCTACCTTAGCTCAATCAGCATCGGCGGTGTTTGGTCAAGCTCGGTAAACGAGAGACCTCGTTATACAAATATTTATAAATGAATAAATATTTATCAATATTATAAACTACATTGGCAATAAATGTGTTCATCAAACAATTCACATCTTTAATATCTAAATAATTAAATGTTGAAACCCATATTTACTGTTACAAAGTGCATTCTGAGTTATGTAAATTCTTTACTGTCCTTTACAGAGCTTTTGAAAGAGCATACATCTATTTATCAGAAAGAAAAGTTAGTGGGCAGGTCTAATACAACTTACATCCAAGGTGATTGGTCCACATTTGAGTTGGAGCTCATGTCAACCAATCGGATTTTGGAACCTACTCATTAAGTAACAGTGAAAATGTACAGGATTTATTATGGAAAACTGTAGCAAATCTAAAATTTAATGCATTTTCATTCTTTGTCAGCTTTATAATCATATGTAAAAGTTTATTTAAAAACATTTTTATTAGAAAGTGGCACTTTTGGTCCTTAATTCATATGATTAGTCTCTGACATACATTTAATTTTGTGGTCCTCAAAGGAAAGTCTTTTTCACAACCCTGTCGTTATTCATAATGCTAAAACTATCTTAAACTGAAAGTGAAAATAAATACTGGCTCTGAAAATTATGATTTTGGCAGAAAATTAACATGAAGTTATAAATATAATACATGTGTATGTGATATTTTGAAAGTCAAAGAAAAATTGACAGTAAAAGATTAACTCTGACCGGGGTGGTGGTCCCCCTGCTCAAAAAGGGGGACTGGAGAGTGTGCTCCAATTATAGAGGGATCACACTCTTAAGACTCCCTGGCAAGGTCTATTCAGGGGTCCTGGAGAGGAGGGTCCGTTGGATAGTCGAAGCTCAGATTCTGGAAGATCAGTGTGGTTTTCGTCCTAGTCTTGGAATACTGGACCAGCTCTAGCAGGGTCCTCGAGGGTGCATGGAAGTTCGCCCAACTGGTCTACATGGGTTTTGTGGACTTGGACTTCGACCGTGTCCCTCAGGGTGCCTTGTGGGGGGTTTTCTGGGAGTATGGGATTCCGGGCCCTTTGATATGGGCTGTCAGGTTCCTGTATGACCGGTGTCAGAGTCTGGTCCGCATTGCCGGCAATAAGTCGGGCTCGTTTCTGGTGAGAGTTGGACTCCACCAGGGCTGCCCTTTGTCACCGATTCTGTTCATTACTTTTATGGACAGAATTCCTAGGGGCAGCCAAACTGTTGAGGGGATCCGTTTTGGTGGCCTTAGGATTGCATCTTTGCTTTTTCTTGATGATGTGGTTCTATTGGCTTCGTCGGGACGTGATCTGCACCTCTTCCTGGAGCTGCAGATGTCCTGGCCCAAGTGGAGGAGTTCAAGTATCTTAGGATCTTGTTCATGAATGAGGAAAGAAGAGAGCGGGAGAGTGACAGGTCGACTGACGCAGGTACTGCCATGAAGTGGGCGCTGTGTCGGTCCGTTGTGGTGAAGAGAGAGCTGAGCCAAAAAGCGATCTATGTTCCCATCCTTTTCTATGGTCATGAGATTTGGGTCATGACTGAAAGAACGAGACCGCAGATCCAAGCGGCTGAAATGGGTTTCTTCTGTAGGGTGACTGGGCTCTCCCTTAGAGATAGGGTGAGAAGCTCGGTCATCCAGGAAGGACTCGGAGTAGAGCCGCTGCTCCTCCACATCTAGAGGAGCCAGTTGAGGAGGCTCAGGGACCTGTTTAGGATGCCTTCTGGACGCCTGTCTGGGGAGGTGTTTTGGGCACGTCCCACGGGTAGGAGGTCCCCGGGAAGACCCAGGACACCCTGGGAGAACTATGTTTCTGAGCTGGTCTGGGAGCGCCTTGGGATTCCCCCGGAAGAGCTGGAAGAAGTGGCTGGGGAGAGGGAAGTCTGGGCCTCCCTTCTTAAGCTGCTACCCCCGCGACCCGACCCCGGATAAGCGGCAGACGATGGACGGATGGACAATATATGTTAAAGACTGTGAATTCAGATGGGTTTGTCCTTCACCAGCTATTCCTGCCATAGACATGTCTAGGTTTCCCTCCCCCACCTCAGCGTAACTTATGTTTTCTAACAATCATGACAATTTTTTAATTCTAGAACTCTAGTTCTACCGTCACTAAAGTCATGAATGAGGAAAGAAGAGAGCGGGAGAGTGACAGGTCTGACAGTCATATTCCAGGCTGAGAGGTAGTCATCCCTCTCAGCCTGGAATAAGCTGAATTGTTGGATAATAAGCATTGTCCAACATGCTTATTCCAGGTGGGGTTGTGAGGGGTGCTGGTGCCCAGCAGTCAATGGACTCTTGCAGTCCTTTGCAAGAGTCCGGAAGCTACGGACTTCTCAGCTTCCGGACTAAGAAGCTAAGAAGTCCGTGGCTTCTTAGCTATGGACTTCATAGCTAAGCTCATGCGTAAAATGAGCTTTTTGCAATTATGATTAGCTAGTTACTTTATGGGTAGTAAAACAGGCAACAATTACATGTAGCCTAAACTTATGATAACCTTATTTTCACACTCATAACAAATGTAGATTTTGATAAAGTCTTTTAAACTACACTTTTGAATGAAAAAAAGTAAAACATTTTCTTTTCAGTACATTAATATGCTCTGACCACATTAAAATAATGAAAACGAGCCTTAAAACGAGACATTTTTTGTTCTCCATCCTCTCCTTTACTCAGGAATAATCTGAGTCAGTTAAATAACTATTAGGAAGCGCATAGCTATTTCAGAAGTAATAGTAGTCCACTTTCATCTCGAACTGCCTTAGTTTGCTTAATGTATGGTAAGGTATTTTAGAAACCTTCCCCCACTAAAATGGAGGAAATATTTTATTCACTTTAAACTGATACATTAAAATCTCAAAATCTCTAAAAGCTTTGAAAAAATTCCATAAATCAAAAATTTGAAATACACTCACCAAAGAAGACACTGATTTTATTTTCTCAATAGAAAGGAGTTGTCATATTTAACAGAACTTAAGATTTTTACAGCAAGCTCAAACAAAACCTGTTACTTCACCTTGTTGTAAGTAACCCATGTAATTGTATGTTACAGATCTTTTATGCGCATACCAACCAATAGAGATTTCTATTTATTTTTTTACTATTTGTAATTGCAGATTAACAAGTAGGATATACCGGTACATACTAATTAACAAACACAAATTCAATTTGACAAAAAAAAGTGTTACACATTGGAACAGATCAAGTCATTTGATTCTGTGCAGTTCAGATCAAAGTTTGTCTTGTGTTTCTTTTTGGACACCTTTTCTTGCCTGACATCAGATCTGACGTGGCGCTCTTTGCTGTGGATGACCTGAATATATTGATCAGTGCTGCTGTTTTGTTGGTCACTGCTGGAGGCTATGGAGGCAGAGTCAGATTCAGTAAGATGAGTTTCAAGCTGACCCTTTAACTTGGGCTTTAATTGAGACCCCATGTGTCTGGCTCTGGTGGGGGACTGATATTGTCTCCTTGGAGAATGGACAGGATGCCTTTGTGTGTGAAAAGATTCTTTTTCTTTTATACTGGTCTGAGACGGAGATGGTAAGTTGAAATGTCCCCAGTCAATTCCTTCTTTACCAGCTTCCTCTTCATCATCTTCTTGCATCTCATACCCTGCTCTCTGACTTTCTCTAAAACTATCTAACCGTTCACCAATATAAAAGTGCGCTTGATGGTGGTGGTCAGGCAGTGAACAAGGTCGAAGGCTTTTGCCTAAAGAAGTCCTTTTCCTGTCTTTTCCAGTTTCTTCCTCCTCTTTGATGAGCTGCTGTGCTGTGTGGGAGCGGGGGGGTTGTTGTTGGTGAATGGTGCGAGGTGTGTAGTGTTTTATGTTGCGCGGGTATAGCTCTAGGATCTCTGTGGGCTCCTCCAGAAGATAGTGCCTTGGGATTCGTGTGGTTGAGCACAGTAGCTTCTTACGGGGCCTGTGCTCATTGACAAACACATAGCGGGTAGTGGGACCACGGTGCCTCCCATAATTTTGCGCAGCAATGATTCCGGCAGCCTCAACAGGGTGTAGAGAACGAATGGTTTTCCTGTACAATGGGTCAGTGTGGATTGCATTAGAAAGGCCAGATGGTGGATTATATGCCATGTGGTGGCAAGATTTGGATCTGCAGGAACCACTTCGGCCACCAATGAAATGTCGAGGTCTATTATGAAGGAAAGGGGGGAAATAACATTAATCAGCTTGTGCAGTAATTATGTTATATGTATTTAAACTTTCCCAAGTTGCTAGAGCAGACAATGAGCCAACTGCAAGCCAGAATATGTCTAATATATATGTTTGTTCACAAAGATAGTTTTTACCCGGAAGCAATAACAAAACTAAATGCAATCAAAAACTAACCATCAATCATCATGAATGATGTGTATCAGCTATTTTTTATTTATTTATTTATTTTTTTACATCGTGTGTAAACTGTGAGATAGTTTGTTAAGCGTATGCACTGACTGATGGCACTTTTAAAATAAAGACTTTATCTTTTATCTTTATATATGCACTCTCATGTCTCTCAATGCACTCATGCACTCAATGCAAACCTCTGAAAGCTTACTGTCAGCATATAACAGTGTATATATATATTTATATATATATATAAATCGTCAGTCTTTAGGATGTTTTCACATGAATAGCCTGGTAGACTCGGTTCAGTTGTAATTTTGGGGACCGACATTTGTAAAACTTTTAGCTGCTATGGTTTGCATTCACACTGCATTGCATCAAACGAACCAAACTAACTAAAAAACCTGTTCCTGCCATCACCTGTGGGTGCGCTGCACCAAGAACTACTGAAGAAATTGACACAAAACCTCTGAAGAAGACCAGCGCAATTTCCTTCTCTACAAAACGTAAACAAAAATGAAGTGGTGTCAGATTTTAGCAGTTGTAAGATTTCTCCATTCATGTACATTACTGGTTTGGATATTATTAGCTGCTAAAGCTAGCAACAATCCTGCAGGCGCCTTTACTGACGCAGTGAGTCATGTCCACAAAACCAAACTGCTCCCATGTGGGATGAGCAAGAATCTGTCAAAAATGATTGTAGTGTCCTTATTGTTTTACCCAATTTCTATAAACTTGGCTTAAAGCTGCGGAAATTTCTTAACTTTTGATATATGTGAAATATGTATTAGTCCACTTCATTACTTAGTGGAACTATTCAACTACTGGATGTACAGTGCATGCTCATTAGTCTGCACTGGGCTACAGAAGCCTAATTGTGACATATCACTGCAGAGGTAGAAGAAAAAAATGGAAAACATGAAAATGAAAACAAACACAAAAACTTAAGTTTTGCATTTGCCAGCATGCAGTGCCAGCATTAAGACGGGAAGTATCTTGCCATTTGGTGCAGGCCTAAACTATATGCATGCACTGTTATCACAGGTAGTTTTCTCTGACTGCCTTCACCTAACAATAAATGAAGAACAGAAAATTATATCATCAAAAGAATTATATGATTATGCTGCAAGGTGTGTAAGGGGGGAGGTCATTTTCTAAACATACTTGCCAACTTGCTTGTTGGCATCATGAAACTAGATTAACCTGGGTTAAGTAAAATAACATGTGACCCCAATCCATCAGTCAGCCGCTCTGTCCTGTGTAGAAGTAAATATAAGGTTGTTTATATATATGAAAATTCAATCAATTACAATTGAAAGACAATTTATTTGACTCAATTATGTTCATTATTATAAAGAAGTTCTGAAATATTTTGTTTTCCAAATAAATAATATCTTTGCCACTTTGGTACAAGCACAGTGACAAACGTTCAGGGATTGAAAATAGTGGAGGTCGAGCAAACATCATACGACCCAGCTTTCCACCAGCATTTAAACGCACCACTTACGCACAAATCAGAAGCTGTTGGAAGTGTGAAATGTTGGAAGTGTGAAATGAATCAAACATCTTTGTGCATTCATAACCGGATCTGTGCATAAATGCCGTTTTGTCTGTGTGTATCAGGCGACTTGTACGTTCTTTCTCAACATTTGTAGGCGTAAAAGAACGTTTGAATTTGTAATTATTAGTTTTGTGAGATTGTAGTTAAACAATTTAGGTGTAGAAATTGTATTTGTGTGTGTACTTTTATTTTGTATTTATGATTTTGTCATATTTGCTAATGCATTTCAACACATACACATGTACCTGGGTACAAGTACGCGGAATTTGAAATTGATCGGAATGTAGAAATCACAAGAGGTGATGAAGATGAGGAGGACCAAACAGAGGAAGAGGACAGAGTCGGCTGTAGGAGCTGGTGTTTTGCTGCTGCTGTTTTCAGCTTCTTAAATCGAATTAGGATTACGTAAATCTATTACGTAAGTAACAAAATTACACCAATTACACCAAAACTCATAATTTTGAAGTAATTATGAGTTTCGGTGTGTCACAAACAGCAACTTTTTAGGTAATAAAAAAATGACAGCATATTTAGTCCAATGTGTTGAACTAGTCCTGGATTCTTTTAAAACAAGGTGGTGGTAATAATGTCTGCAGAATGAAATGGCAGGATGAATTGTACTGCAAACCTCAGTAGGAATTTAAAAAATAGCACAAGAGGAGTGTTACATTCTGCTTAATTATATACATTTTTCAGTTATATAAAGAGAATGTACCAAGCTGGTCTCTGGCTGTGAAATTAGCCAGTTTGGGTGTGACTTTGTTGATTTATATAAAATAGTTCTTTCTTTTGGGTGTTTTTTTTTTTATTAACAACCAAGCTTGGTTTTTACTTTTTTCTATGTGAGATTACGGTAATGCAATAAAAACTGAATTTATTTTAGGGCAGTTGACATATTCTTAACACGATGCCATTAATTTTGAAATGAATTGAACTGATGTAAATCTCCCTTTCCCAAAATAAAAACATTCAAAAGTTTTGGAAACAAGTAATTCTTATTCTTTGTAGCACTTCTTTAACAGCAAATGAAATACATTTCTGAATTCTTTGTAAAAGTATCTATATCTCTTGAACTTTAGGATTATAACTGCATGTCACAATTTTCTAAATTTTAATCCATAAAAAGCTTTAAAAAGTGTCTTGCTTCAATTTCTGCACTACTTTGTGTGGATCATTAACATAAAATCAATTAAAATTTGTGTTTTTTCTGTAACATGTAAAATGATAGAGGTATGAATACTTTTACAAGACATTGTACAGTTGTGGACTTTGTTCTAATTTGCTGAATATTCTAGCAAAACTATCATGAAGTGTTGAATACCTGTTGGATATGGGTTCCACCTGGTGTTTGGGTAGTACGATCACACCTGGACTTCTGACAAATCCAGACACTCTTTCTTCATTCAGGTCAGCTCCAGAAGCTGATTGGCTGATGGTACGGACACTGTTACTACGATTAATAGGAGACTGAATGTTTGAAACGCTGCCATTTTGCTGGGGAGATGAGGTGTGTATGGAACCTTCCTGGCTTGGGATGTCATTTTCCTGCTGATCTGGGTTTTTGTCAGCTGAGGCCTCTGGGACTTGCAGCCTTGCTGTAACGATAGCAGTGGAAACACAATCACAACATTAGTTTTATCAGAACAAACCCCACAAAACTAAAAATACTCCAAAAAACAAAACAAAAAAATACTACCTGCAGCCATCTGAAACACTTTTTTCTTGTCCTCTGTCCGCTCCTAAAAAAGATGGGAGGGGGAAAATCCAACCAAAGAAAGAAAGTAATTCAACAATTGATTTAGTCTTAAGAACAGCACAATGCACTGGCTATGTGTCTTTTTTCAAAGACTGGTTAAGAAGAGATTAAAATTTAAATCCAAAAGCACTTTATTGTTTCTAAAGGGGAAATAAATATTAACTCATATTAATCCAAATTCTTCAAAGAGTTTTTGTAGATTAGGGCAGCTCAAGACTTGTCTTCGAGAGCGGCCATCCTGCAACTTTCAGATGCTTCCCTGCTCCAACACACCTCAATCAAATGAACAACTTGTTATCAGATCTGTTCAGAGCTGATCCTGGTCTGTTGGCATGAAGATGCCTGGCCCGGGGTCTTTCTGCATGGAGTTTGCGTGTTTGCATGCATGGGTTCTCTCCAGGAACTCCAGCTTCCTCCCACAGTCCAAAAACATCAGGTTAAATGGACTCTCTAAATTCTCCCTAGATGTGTGTGAGTGTGTGCATGGTTGTTTGCCCTTTCTGTCTCTGTGTTGCCCTGCAACAGACCTGTCCAGGGGTCTCGCAGCCCACTACAAAAATGTAATAATCTAAAATAAAAATAAAATATCTTAAAAGCTTACTCTTTACTATAAAACTTAAACTTAGGACAACTTTCTAAAAGTAATCAAACTCATCAGCACCAAGTAACCCGTAATTTGGAGTTATGAGTGAGCAAGACGCAACTGCAAAACCAGCAGAAAACTCGGCATCATTCGGCAGCTCTCGTTGAACGCACATGCGCAGTTGGCCACTGAAGACTGACGACGTGTTTGAAAGAAGCGCCGAACTGTCAACAATACGGCGATTCCTGCAGCCAAGTTTTGTCATGGTAAGTTCCACTGGTTTTTAGCAAACTTATATTCATTATCTCGGCCGTATAATTCATCCGTAAGTCCAGGTTTTGAGGTTAACTTCATGTGTAATGATTTAGCGATGATTTTCCTGGGACTAACGTCAATCGAAAATATCATGTTTATTTAGTAGCAACAAGATGGAGCGGCAGAGAAAAAAGCTGTCCGGGGTGCAAAACAAAAAAAAGGAAAAGGGATAAAGATAAAGATGTTGGCCGGATAAAAAAAAAGCATTTCGGTGTGGTTGAAAGTTAGTAGGCAAGCTACGTTAGCTAGGGTTAGGGGAATCCTAACCCTAACATTAATGTCTGTATTCTATTGGGTAATCTGTGTCACACGTGTGAGTGTGTATGAGTTTCCATCCATCCATCCATCCATCCATCCATCCATCCATCCATCCATCCATCCATCCATCCATCCATCCATCCATCCATCCATCCATCCATCCATCCATCCATCCATCCATCCAATCTTTACGTTAAGACAAACTTAGATAAAGATCCAAACTGAAACAAATGGCCACTCTAAAAGTTTTACATGAATTGTATAGGGAGGATCTTAAAGAAAGACAGACTGAGACTTCCTTAACTCTCTTTTAGACAGGGAGTCTGTCTGCCAGACAATTAACAATTCCTTAGCATGGTTCAAAAGTTCACTAGGATCTTAAAACTTTTTATAAATAATTTTATCTATATTAGAATTAAATATATTTCTTTAAGCATTAAAATGCATGTTTTGAATTAGTTACTTCTTAGATCCAAACTTATAGTCATTATTTAGCATTACGTTTTGTGCAAGCTTGGTTAAAAATACAAACTACTTTCTTGTGGAATCATTTGAGGCAGAAAACTAAAACAGACAGAGGTCGTAAATTTAGCTCAGGGACAGTTGCAGGAGACGCCTGGTACGGCAGAGACCCAGTTTGACAATCCATATATCTGCCTTTGGGGCTCTTTAGCAGGAGGTAATAAAATCAATGGGAAGGCCCATGAGGGAAAAACACACCTCCTAATGCATATATTTAAATGAGGAGAATACACATTATTATAAAATGGTTTGTTTTACAGCAGAAGTCCGAATCTCTTTGTACTGAGTGAGAGTTTCCCAAAAGATGCATCTTTTGTTTGTTTCTGTTTTACTCAGTGAATTGTTTCTGTTTTGTCATGTCTTGGACTTTTGATGATCTAGGTGAGATGCTTATTGTAACATTCTTCTTGCATTGATTTTTCTCTGGATAAAATATCTGAATTCTGACGTCGTATGATTGCTCTTTCTCACTGCACATATATTGAGACGCAGGAATTCGGAAAAAGAGGAATGAATTAACGAGCTAAATCAAGATATTCCTCTTTTTAATTCTTAACACCATCCATCCATCCATCCATCCATCAAGTCAAACCAAATTATTGCTCTTAATTTTTTATTGTAGAACTTTACAAATGGCACTCCACTGTGAGCCAACCATGTTTAAGGGCAGCATTTTGTCTTCTACATACTGCATGACTTCTTATTTTGGTGGTGGGGGACCAACAGTGTCTGGCAGAACCTGCTACTAGATATTCTTTGGATTTGATGTAGTATTTTATAACTTGATAGGCTGGAAGACTATTGTCATACTCCCAGTGCAAAACAAAAAAAAAATCTACGTGGTTGTTAATCGATTTCATACAACAGGGTTGACAACAAAAAAAGTTTTAAAAAGCTTACAATAAATATGATTTCATATTCGTTGACATATGACATCAGCCTAAAAACAATGTAAATATGCTAAGAATTGTTAAATATTTACGAAAAATAACTTTTTGTGTCACGTTTTTCAACAAAATTATAAACTGTTCTGACTAATGGTGTTCAATCTCCACCTTTTGCAATACATAGGGGAACTCGACAGGGTTGCCCTCTATCCCCACTTCTATTTGCCCTTGCGCTGGAGCCCCTAGCAGTGGTTATTAGATCACAGCAAAATGTACATGGTGTAATGATTGGCGGCAAAGTCCATAAAATAGCATTATACGCAGATGATATTGTGTTATTTGTAACAAAACCCGATATCTCAATACCAGCCATCTTGTCCACTATCTATGAGTTTGGTTCCTTCTCAGGTTATAAAATCAATTTTGATAAATCGGAAGCGATGCCTCTAGGTATTGCTACTGTTCAGGACCTACCCTCTAGCTGTTCCCTGAGATGCTCCCAACAAGGCTTCACTTACCTTGGAATTAATGTGTCCCCTAACCTGTCAGATTTATGGAAGCTTAACTTATCTCCAACACTTAGCAAAATAAGGAGGGACTTAGAAAGGTGGCATGACCTTCCCTTATCATTTATGGGGCGTATAAGTTTGATTAAAATGAACATTTTTCCACGACTTTTATATCCCCTCCAAATATTACCCCTTTGGGTCTCCAAAAAAGTTACTACGGATATAGAGAGGGAATTTTCCAGGTTTATTTGGCATGGAAAGAGACCACGACAGAAAATCAGAACTTTACAGCTTCCTGTGGACAGAGGTGGCTTGGCTTTGCCAAACATTTACTATTACAATTGGGCTTGCCATTGCTCGTTATCTCTGGGAATGGCTACATGCTCATCTCAACTCAGATCCCTGCCTGGATTCGTGGGCCTCTCAGCCTGCTTCCTTGTGGAGACTCATAACTGGCGATAAGAAGAGACTATCGAGAGATATTAAACATAATCCAATTATTTATAACACAGTTAGAGTGTGGCAGAGAATTTGGAACCATGCAGGAGGTGGGCCCTGCTCATCACTCCTGACTCCCCTTACAAGAAACCAGGATTTTACCCCAGGGCTTGAGCCCAACATTTTTGACCTGTGGTATGGCAGAGGTGTGAGAGTGATCGGAGATCTTTTTGCAGAGAATCTACTCATGACATTTCAACAATTACAGTCAAAATTTGATATTCCTAAAGAACACTTTTTTGGTTTTCTCCAAATTCGCCATTTCATCAGTTCTATGAGACTATCCCAGTCTGGCTTGGCCACATGCAATGAGATAGAAAAATTCCTTGTCGACCGGAAAAATCCTAAGCATTTTATCTCTGCTTTCTATGCGGTGCTCTGCTCTCTCACCCCAGGTGGTGCTGGGGACATTGCGCGGAAATGGGAGGGAGACCTTGACACAGAATACATTGAGGATGACTGGCAAGAAGCCATTGGTGTGGTTAATTCAACCTTTATATGTAATACGCTCAGAGAGACAGTATAAAATACAACATCGTCTACATATAACACCCTTTATACTGAATAAGATGGATCGCCAACTCTCTCCCTTATGCAATAAATGTGGAAGGGAAGTTGGAACATATTATCATTATTTTTGGCAATGCAAATTAATTAAACAATTCTGGAGTGCAATCTCTAAAGAGCTGAGTGATGTGTTTCATGTTATTTTGGGGAGGTGGGAGGTGTTTTTGTTTCTCTTCCTTATCATATACTTATGTGAGATGATAGACAACACAGTGTACAATGTTATATTTCCTATGTTTGTGAAACACAAAACTAATAAAAATGTTTTTAAAAAAAGTATAAACTGTATATCTAGTAGGTTTATTGTTGGATTGATTGGTAGTGGCTTCATCCTCCACTAAAGTATTCCACAGTTTCAGCACCAAAATTAAGATTGTTATTATTTATTATTAATATTATTGCACACCCAGAGGTGGCTACTTCCTTGTGGAAGGAGGCTATATCCATTGAAAAGCTAGTTCCACTTCTACATGTTTTTTTTTAAATTAATACATTAATATAAGTTAAAATAAATATGCCCTTCAGCTATCTGATGAATTGGAAGCTCAATCAGAAGTAAATTTCAGCTTCGTTTAATGATTTAATCCCTCATGTTCTTCCCCAGTCATCATTATCTAGTGTATGTAAACTTTTGGTTTTGACTGCTGTTATGCTTGTCATAAACAATTTATCTAAATAGAAAGGAAGAATATTCTAAGCATGACTAGAGATTCCAAAATAACTACAATAATGATTAATTTCTTACTTTTTTTAAATGTTTATCGACGAGTAAGAAACTCAGAATAACTTGTCAATCAGAAAAAAAATTAAGAAATTACATGCATGGTCATTGATTACCCAAAATGATATTCTGAACAAGAATTTTAAAAACATTCGTTAACACAAACCAGATTTTGTAAATAATGACACTTTAATGCAAAGTTGGCACTTTCAATGGACTTTCAATGCAACTTTTAAAGCAACTTTGCATTAAAAGTGTCAATATTTGCTGAATGACACTTTGTGACAACAGTCATAGACATTCATAAAGACTCCATGTTTATGACAGTGTCATGTCAGTCTTATGGACACCTCATCAAAGTGTTACCAGACATTCAGTTTTTGACTGTCAATTTGCATAATTGAAACGTTTTTTTTTTTTTTTTTGCAAACTGTCAAGGTCAATATTTTAAAACTTACAGTCTGGAGCTGAATCCTCAGTTGGTTGTTAGTAAATTTTAGGGATCTGGCAATGGCTTGAAGATAATATATCAGCATACTGAAACACAAATGGTAAAAATACAAATGTGTTTTTGAAAATAGAATGTTGCAGCAAATAATATATGTATTTACATGTATAAAGAAACACACACACCCAGAAGGGAAGGCTTTCTCTGGTAAGAAAAAACATGCTTGCGTGTGCGTGTCTTGTGTGTCATACATGAGACATGATGTTATTATCATATGTAGACTGTTTAATGTCTTGTTAGTGTGTGAGGCTTCTTACAATAACAGTAGTACTGCTGGCAGCACCACAACAGGACTGGTGATATAACTCATCACTTTACTGAACCAAAGTGGGAAATCTGATGCCACTGTGTCTGAGATGATGTCATAAATCTTCTCCTGGCCACTGAAACACACATTTCAGCACTTTTACCCAAATTAACTCTTTCAGAGGACTTATAAAACATGCAAGGGTAAGAGATGTCAAGTCAATTATACCTTTTCAACTGTTCCATTCAATTTAGATTTATTTACATAGCACAAATTCACAGCAAGTTTCTATCAAAGAAAACCAATTGAATCTAGTTGTCAACTAGCAACATTTCCTCCTGGAAAATCAGAAAACCACAGAAAATCCTCATACAGAGCATGCATGTAGCACAGAGAGGAAAAGCTCCTCTTTAAAGCTGCAGTTTGTAACATCTACAAAAAAATAGAGATTTTTTTACACATTTAATAAAACTATCACTTTGTTATGACTGTATGGTATAAAACAGATAATCTGTGGAAAAAATCAAGTTCCTCTGCCTTCTCACAGTGATCCCAATACTGACCACAGCAATACACAGCTCAGTCAGGAAACAACCAATCAGAGCCAAGAAGAAGAAGGTCTTAAACTGTCAATCAGAGCCCATATTGCCACTAATGGTGGCGGATAAACAATTACATAACAATAAACAAGAGAAAGAGGGCGGAGGAGCTTGATATTTTTCACAGATTATTGTTCTCATACCACAATATACATACATGATAACAATTTTAAGAAATGTGTAAAAAACAGTTTTTTTTTATTTTTTTTTATTAAAACTTACATACTGCAACTTTAACTGGAAGAAACCTCCAGGAGAACATGGCTCAGTGAGAGCAGTCATCTTCCACAACCATTCACAGGTTTTGATCACAGCAGTGCTGTGTGGTATTCTCAAAATGAAGAGTTTTGAAACAAAAAAAAATTAACTAAATATTAGACCTTGACAATAATAAAATCCTTCTGAATGTATTTTACCTGAATGGTCCACAGTGTTCTGAAGGTCTATATCGCACAATGGCAAAGATGGTGGGGAGCATACACAGAAACAGCATGAAGAGTAGCATAGCCAAGTAAAAATTATTTGATCTGAAAAAGCAAAAATAAAGTTAGCAAAGAGGAAATTGAGAAAAACTTTATAAAATTTTTATAAGCAAACATTATGTGGAAGAGAGTTGGTTATTTATTTTAAATAGGCCACCGGCAAGAACAAAGCTGACTTTAGACGTGGAGTTTAAAGTTATCTTTTTTACATATTTAAGAGTGTCTCTATATATTGACAGTATAATATGAGAGAACTAATATGTGAAAATGTCAAGCTATCCACCTCCCCCCAGTCTTAGCTGCAGGGATGAAAGTAGTTTTAAATTCCTGCCGGTACTATGATGAAAATCACCAGTGACTCATTGTGTCAACCAAAACAAAAAAAAATATATAAATATTTTCATAAAAACAGTATTGATCTTTCAACTGGGTTTGTATTACAATCTCATGGTGTTGCATTTATTAGAAGAGAGAGGAGTAAAACCCATCAAGTGCAGTTCAAGTGAACTTCTGAGAAAAGGAAAAGCCCTTGTTGAATTTAAAGCATCAGGAGCCAGGAACTGAAGGCTGAAGGAGAAACAACCTGTCCCGCTCTTTCGTTCTTACAGACAGCACTGACTGCTAAAGTTACTTATTGTTGGAGATGAGACAGTCTGTGGAATCAACTATTTCCGCAATGCCTAAAAAACCAGATTCATGTCCTTTCCCAAACCTGCTGGATCTTTTATAACAGACAAAATACTCTCTCTAACCACAGATCAGTCCAACGTTGAAACTCAAGTTGCGCATATTGGAGCTAATGATCTGACAAAACAACAAGCAGAGACTCTGAAAACAGTATTTTAAAATACTGTCTCAGAACAGAACCAAAATGGAGTAAAACTCAACTTCACGTTCATAATGACATCTATAAAGAAAGACTATGTAACTATCACTCAACACTAACACATGCAAGGGAGGCTTTCTTTGCAATTAAGACAATTAAGCCGAAACCTGGTAGTAATGATGGATTCTGTTCTGAACATTCAGAGCCACATAAATACAGTTACAAAGTCGGCCTTTTATCACTTGAAGAACATCTCCAGGATTAGAGGACTAATGTCTCAGCCAGATCTAGAGAAACTCATCCATGCATTTATCTTCTGTTGATTACTGCAACAGTGTCTTCATGATTCTACTTAAAAAATCCATATGACTTTATCATTCTTCTGAAACCTATTGGAAAACTTAAACAGAAGATTTTCTTAGTGGCCCTGTCCCAGCAGCAGGATGGGGTGATGATCTGAAATACTCTCGATCACATTTAGTTATGTTTATTGATTAGTTATTTCATTACCAGCTTCAGTTGTTCATATATGTCTGAGCATATGGCAACATTTCTTCAGTGATTCTAGTTAGGATATTTCTTTGTTTAGTCCTTCTAGTTATTCTAGCTTTATATTCCTTAGTTCTTGTGGTTTTTTTAGATCACCCTTGTTTCTGTTTGGTTCTTTCAGTTTCCCCTCCTGTCTTTGTCTCTGTAGTTCATTATGTTTTCATTTGGTCTTAATGTTACTTTATTGTAAGAACGATTTCCAGCCCCCTTGTGTTTTCTTTTCCTCATTCTCTTGTATGGATCTTCCCAGCTTCCTGTGCTACTTTCTCTCTCCCCTCCTCAACCTAGTTTTTGCTCTAACTACTCTCATCTGTGATCAATTAACTCATCAGCCCAGGTCTTCTGTCACACTCACAACTCTCTAGTATTTATTTAATCTCCTCTATTTCAGTTCAGTCCATCTTGTCACTTTGTTTTTGTTTAGTCTGCAGTTAACCTCCTGTTTCTCTATGATCTCCTCAAGTCTTCAGTTTTGGATTTGTTTTTTGGATTCTATATTCAAGAATGTGAAAAATTGTAACAAAATCTCTTTGGGTCATTTCACCTCTTTTGAATATCTGAGTATTGAGGTAAAAGGCCATAAACAAACTTTGATGCAAACTTTATACAATACTTCTTTGCTGATTTTAATAAACTTTTATCTCTCATATCTATTGATTATGATTGTTTAATAATTGTGAGTGACTTCAACATTCATATTGACAACCCCCAATACAGAGGGGCAAAATAGCTATGTGATATTCTTGATAATTTTGGTTTAACACAACATGTCAAACAAGCAACACACACTCAAGGACACACACTGGACCTGGTTATCAGTAAGGGTGTGAATATTTCCAATGTCTCTGTAACTGATGTCGCCCTGTCGGATCATTTTGCTGTTATCTTTGAAGGTTCTTTATCCTTTAATCCACTTGGACAAACAGCTACTGTCACAAAACGTTCCTTCATAGAAAACAGCAGAAACATTTAATCAAATCTACTCTTCCTCCTCACCCTTAAGCTGTAATGATGTAGATAAGTTGGTAGAAGATTTTCAGTCTAAAGTTTCATATATCATTGATTCTATTGGCCCAATTAAAGTAAATGTCTGGTAGGAAGAAATCTCCATGGAGAAAAGCACAAACAGTTCGATCTGCAAGAGAACTCTGTCGCAAAGCAGAACCAAAATGGAGTAAAACTCAAGTTCACGTTCATAATGACATCTATAAAGAAAGACTACGTAACTATCACTCAACACTAACACATGCAAGGGAGGCTTTCTTTGCAATTAAGACAATTAAGCCGAAACCTGGTAGTAATGATGGATTCTGTTCTGAACTTTCAGAGCCACATAAATACAGTTACAAAGTCGGCCTTTTATCACTTGAAGAACATCTCCAGGATTAGAGGACTAATGTCTCAGCCAGATCTAGAGAAACTCATCCATGCATTTATCTTTAGTCGCATTGATTATTGCAACAGCGTCTTCACAGGCCTGTCCAACAAATCAATCAAAGCTGATCCAGAAGCTGCTGCTCCTGTTCTCACTAAAACCAGGAAGATAGAGACATAACAGCAGTTTTAAAGTCCCTCCACTGGCTCCCTGTAGCTCAAAGAATAGATTTTAAAATACTGTTGACAGTTTATAAATCACTGGACTGCTCAGCATCACAATACATTAAAGATCTGCTGTTGTATCAACCTTCCAGACCCCTCGGGTCTTCTGGTTGTGCTCTGCATCCAGAACCAAAACCAAATGAGGAGAAGCAGCATTCAGCTTCTAGGCACCAGAAATCTGGAATAAAATTCCAGAAAAGTGTAAACAGCTGAAACACTGAATTCTCTTGAATCTCGTCTAAAACCCATCTGTTTACAGTTCCTTTTGAGTCATAATAAATGAAACCTTGATCAACATATTTGATGTGTTTGATTTTAGTGATAGAGCTCATCAAAATGTAATATTTGTTCAATTGTTAACTGTGTGGTGTTTTTTATTATGTAAAGCACCTTGAACTGCCTTGCTGTTGAAATGTGCAACACAAATGTACTTGATTTATGATTAATTGATAATCTAGACAGTTAATGATTGTAAGTGCCCAAAAAATACACAATATTCAGCATTTAAAGCAGTGTGCTCCAATTGTTTGTTTTTTTCTGTCAAATGAACCAATGGAAATTTTTGGATGTAACATGAGAGCTAAATGGGCCATAAAATTGCTGTTTTGAAAGAATTATATAAAATGTAGAATTCAACTACTTGGACATTTGCAGAATTTTATTTTTGATAAGGAGATTGTCCACATAAAATATGTATGAATGGGGGAGGATGTGTTGTGAGATTTGCAGAGGTTCTGACCTGGAAGCTCGGAAAACCTGCTGATGAGGAACATTGCAAGTGAGGACAGCCCAGCTCCTTAGATACATGAGACCAATCAGTTTCAACACATTAAAAGCAGGAAGGCATGGAGAGAAAAAGGCTCCCATCCTGATGAAAGACACGCACAAACACACACAGCATTATAAAAAAGGCATTACGCTTAGAGGGACATGGTTTCACTTCATTATCTGGGTAGTTATTTGTTTCTATCTTCTGAAATTGGCACAAAAAAAAATATATATATATATATATATATCCAGGCCAGGCACTTATGTGAAATGATTAGGTTTTTAGGGGGTCATATTCTTTTAAACAGGGTCACAGTCAGCAACAATAACTATTAGTTTTATATCAGATTCGTTTTACAAGGACTACAAATAATTGTTCAAACTTACCAGATCATTCCTTGGTTGTAAATCAAGTGCAGGACATTTTCAGCTATTTTAAATTCTCCATATTCAGGCTGCAAAAACATATCAAAAGTTTATTTTAATGGCATTACATTTGTTTCTGTAAACATTTAAAATTGGTTGATTTTTTTCTCAGTTTGGGAAATCAACACTTCAATACAGTGGGGGAAGAAGTTAGATGAAGCAAATCCATCAGTCGCAGTCCTTTTATCTGTGTTTTTTGTGGTAGCTCATTTCAAGTCTGTGATTTTAAAAATCTGGTTCAGGCTGAAAGGCTTAGTTTATTGTACACCCAATTTCCATCGATAGAAATAAAAACAGTCATTAAGCCATGGGAGAAATATACATAAGCTAGAACCCATTTGTTATCTTCACAAGCATCATCAAGACAGGAGCAAAAAGTCAGGTGTGACTTTATCTTGAATAGACACACCACACAGATCCATACAAACTAGAGATGCTCTAATCAAGTTTTTTGCTGCCGATCCCATACCGATCACCCATGATACCGATCACCTGGATTGGCTGTTCATTTTTCGCTTGAGGTATTGTGAGGGTTTTACACAAACCAGCCAGAGAGATGTTGAGTAAATTTTTAAAAAATTCTTAATTTATTACAAAAAATCCCAAAATAATTTCAAAATGATAAATTGGGCCCAAAATTGAGGTCAACATAACAAACTACAACTCAGGTAGTGACAAAAAGAACTCAAATAAAAACTGACCAAACAAACAAAACATGAAAGGAGCTTAAATAGTGGCTGATCAGACCATTGCTCCACACAAAGGGGATAATTAAACACACAAAAACAATGAAACACATTATTAAATCTTTAAATTAAATAAATATCAGAATTGGACTAACTTGCACAAAAGAACAAACATTAAAGAAATGGTCAAATTAAATTAAAGACCAAATTTCCCCTTCACCTGGCAAGCAGATGGAACGGCCCACTGAGGAAGTTCACAACCACATATGGACATCAGCTGGAGCTCACCTTTATCATTTCCCTTCTCACCTCGGCAACCCTCCTCTTGACTCAACTCTTGCCCCTCCCTGGCAGATTGCCCTGCCTGCATGAGTAAGTGCTCCTGGCACCATCCTATCTCAGCACCCCACTGGACTCGCGTATCTCTTTTGGCATTATGTCCAGGACATGATGCAGGTGTTGTAAATATTGCATCTTGTTGTAAATAAAGCTAAAGAACTGTTCTGATCTCCTGATGGTGTTTCTGCATGTGGGTTAAACAAATTCCCTAAAGCATGACACTGAGTTTAGTCTGAGACTCTGCTAAAGTCAGCTAATCACCATCTTCACTTTGAGATAAGATGGAATATCGATCATAAGTCCATCATTCAAATCCTCACCTGCTTTTCTTAAAGTAGTGATTGTGTGCAGCTCTGTTAAATATACTCAGTTACCAACTCACTGGTTGATTTCTGCAGTGAGGTCAACTCAGTATACAGGTTGATCCTCCTTGGTTTACCCTTAATCGGCATAATGTGCCAGCAGGATTCCAACTACTGGCACTTATCATGCAGAGAGAGTACGATGAGATCCTGGCAGGGGAATAGTGGTGCTGCGATCACTTCGGGGTGAGGCAGAGCCACTCCCCCAGCAGCTAGTAGTGAACAGCTTACAGCCACAGCTAACTCTGGGAGCCAAGGTTTTTTTCCATAGTCTAAAATACCTTGTTCCCCAAAGCCTATCACATTTTTTGTCATCTTGATGTATGTTATTTTTTCAAAAATTGCATACAAACTGAATTGCCTTCATTTTCATGCTAATAATGTTTTAAAACGGTGTTGTTTGCAATATGTTTACATCAGTTTAATAAATTTAGAGTGTATACCATAATTCTAAATGATAAAAAACAATTTCTTGTGAATATTTGACATCTTGAAAAAAAAAATTTTTCAAAATTGGATTTTGTTTTTCTGTGACTCAAGATCCAAAATGCTGCCACGTTATGTCCAAAAGTAAAAACTAAGTGTAAATTCATAAAGTTCATATTGTCCTGAAAAAGATTATATAACATAAGGCATTATATATAATATAATGGTTTCCATTAAGGTGAAATCAAAATTGGTCAAAAACAACCATATGTACCTGGACTCCTAAGGGTTAAACACGCCTGTCCAACTGTTCATTAACGCAAATGTTGGATCAGCCAATCACATTGCCGCAACTCAATGTTTTTAGATATGTAGATATGGCTAAGACAATCTGCTGCAGTTCAGAACAGGGAAGAAAGGAAATTTAAATGACTTAAACGTGGTATGGTTGTTGGTGCCAGGCAGGTTGGTCTGAGTATTTCAGGAACTGCTGATCTACTGGAATTTTTACCCATAACCATTAATAGAGTTTACAGAGAATGGTCCGAAAAAGAAAAAATCCAGTGAACAGTAGTTCTGTGGTCGTAAATGCCTTGTTAATGTCAGAGGACGGAGGAGAATGACAGGACTGGTTCAAGCTGATAGAAGAGTAACAGTAATTCAAATAACCACTTGCTACAACTGAGGTATGCAGAAGAACGTCTCTGAATGCACAACATGTGAAACCTTGAGGTGGATAGGCTGCAGAAGAAGACCACATCTAAGAACAGCAAACTTAGGCTACAATTTGGACAACTCCACCAAAATTGGACGATAAAAGACTGGAAGAACGTTGCAGAATCTGATCAACATCAATTTCTGCTGCAACATTCAGATGGTAGGGTCAGAATTTGCTGTCAAATTCTGACCCTGATTCATGAAAGCATGAATCCATTGTGCTGTGTATCAACAGTTCAGGGTGGTGGTAGTGTGGGGGATATTTTTCTGGCACACTTTGGGCCCATTAGTACCCAATTGTGGGTATTGTTGTTGACCATGTCCATCCCAATGACCACAGTGTAATCAACTCCTGATGGCTACTTCCAACAGCATAATGTGCAGTGTTGTAAAGCAGGAATCATTTCAGACTGGTTTCTTGAACAATGCAATGAGTTCACTGTACTCAAATGGCCTTCATAATCACCAGATCTTAGTCCAATAGAAAACCTTTGGGTTGTGATGGAACGAGAGATTTATATCATGGATGTGCAGCCAACAAATCTGCAGCAACTGTGTTATGTCATTATGTCAACATGGACCAGACTCAATGAGGAATGTTTCCAGTACCTTGTTGAATCTATGCTATGAAGGATTAAAGCAGTTCTGAAGGCAAAAGAAGATCCAATCCGGTGCTCGCAAGGTGAATCTAATAAAGTAGCCAGTGAGTGAATGTATTCATACATGAATACAGATATGAAAACTCTTGACATATGGCAAGAATATTCTTTAAAGCATATGTCAAAACAGGACAGCTGTGACACGGAACCTTGGCCTCCATGGCCAATGATAGACCAGGACTTATTGATGGAGCTGACATGAAGAGATCAGCTCTATGATGGCCATTTTAGTCTTCATGTGTAAAGAGAGGAAGATTTTGGCTATTAAGGAATATAACACAACTTGAGTATTATGTACTTCATTTTCCAATACGTGGCACAGTTAGGGCCACATTTGAAGAGATTTGGAATTGTTTTAATTTGGTTTCTTGTTTTAATAAAAGTATTCACTTTCAATATACAAATTGCCCCTTACAATTGCTTATTAATAGGAGGATAGATGAATAAACAGCTACCAACCCACCCTATATCTGCACACTTCATTTGCTTCCTGCTGCTGTATAATGGTAGATATATGTACAAAGAAATAATTAAAAGAACACTGTAAGAATGTTTTCTAATAGTCTCTCCCTCTGTGGTCATTTGTATTCAGCACAAAGTGCGATCTGGTCATGTATCCACTCAGGACACATTTACACTTCTGTCTTCAAGATCACTCGATACTGTTATTGATGTCAGGGCTGAACGGGACCTCAGTAATACCAGGCCTCTTTATGTTGCATTTTTTCCATAGATTTAGTCAGTGTCTTGTACAATTGTAATGTCATAATGGTGGATTAAATGGGTAAACCCACTCTGAACATGCAGGTACCAAATGCACAACACACTACTGACAGCCCAATGTTGTAGGTACCCCATTAACTGATCTGCCCTCTTATGGGGTATGTGCGTGTGTTCATGTGCAAGAGAATAATTGGGTATCCAAGAATGGCCTGTGTGAAAGCTTGAAATACTTAGACAATACTTTAAAACAACTTACAAACTTGCTTTCTAAGTCCCAGCAGCAGCAGTCACTCAGATACCGAACCACCAGACCCCTGATAAAGTCAATGAGCAAGATACTGGCCACTGTGAAGATCATGTCAATAATAGAAAGCTTCAACATCTCCTGAAACAGATGAACATGGAGATATTATGTTACTGCTGACATTACTACATTTTACTAAAATTGGGCATTTACATTTTTCTTACTAAGAGAATAATTAATTTGAAATTATAGCAAGTCATCTTTAGTTGAAAGAACTGAATTGTTACGCACACAAATATAATATGTATTTATACTGTCAAGACTGGGTTTTTGTGGTTGGTTTTGTGTATTTCTGGGTTTTTTCTGTTCCTCTTTTTAGTTATCAGTTATGTTTTAAGTTCATATTTTGTTTTACTCTTATTGATTATTTGTTGTTTCTAATTTTTTGTTATTTCTTTGTCATTCTTGAGTTTCTTTGTTTTAGTCCCCTTGTAGTGTTTTCTTGTTATTTTATCTAGTTACACAAGTTAGGTTTATTTCTTTGTTTAGTCCTTCTGGTTATTCTAGTTTCTGTGTTCCTAAGTTCTCTTTATTAGAGCTTGTTTCTTTGTCTCTTTTTAGTTTATCATGGCACAGTGCCACTTTAGCAACAGCTGCAGTGGCAGAATCCCTTTCTGATTCATTCATTGGGGCTGCATATCCCCTCTCTGGGTGGGGACTTGTAGTTAAGTCCCCACCGTCCTGACATCCGGGATCCTCCTTTTTGCCGTAGCATTTGTGTTGTATCTCGTCAATCTCAAGTAGTGACAGCAATTGTCGTTTGCGGATGTTGGAACACTGAGCTACTAGTTGTTTAGCGCTTAGTGTTGACTGGGGATGTTGAAGTAACCATTCCTTCCCCAGTCTTTGCATGTAACCCCTCTGACTAGGGTTACTTGAGTAGTAGCATTCAAACAGATCCAAGTTTTCGCCTCTCGCCCATTTCCATCTTGTTCCAGTAGCCCATTTGTCATCAAGGTGCTCTGGTTCCCCAGCACCTGACGCAGACCTTGTTTGGCCGGGCGACGTCTGAGGCGGCCTGTTACACATCTTAGTGTCTTTCATGATATGAGGTAGGCAGTAGCTTGAAGGTATGCATAAGGACCCAGACTGGATTCGAACCCCGCCCTCTTGGGTGAAAGACTGATTAATTATGTATTGTATCAGCTATCCTTGAAGCTATCCTTGAAGCCAACTGCAAACCACTTACACAAGTGTCCATCAAATGTGGCATATATCAAGGAGATGCTCTGTCCCCGCTACTGTTCTGCATAGGCCTGAACCCTCTCAGTCAAATTATCAACAAAAATGGGGCCAACATCAGTCACCTCCTCTACATGGATGACATCAAGCTGTACGCCAAGAGTGAGCGAGACATCGACTCACTGATCCACACCACCAGGATCTACAGCACGGACATTGGGATGTCATTCGGACTAGAGAAGTGTGGTCGGCTGATCACAAAGAGGGGGAAGGTGATCCACACAGAAGGAGTCTCACTCCCACAAGGAACAATAGCAGACATAGAGGACAGCTACAAGTAACTAGGTATACCACAAGCAAATGGCAACCTCGATGAGGCCACAAGGAAAGGAGCCACAGCTAAATACCTCCAACGAATAAGGCAAGTCCTGAGAAGCCAGCTCAATGGCAAGAACAAAATCCGTGCAATAAACAGCTATGCCCTGCCAGTAATCAGATACCCTGCTGGAATAATTAGCTGGCCAAAGGAGGAAATAAAAGCCACAGATATTAAGACTAGAAAGCTACTAACCATGCATGGAGGGTTCCATCCCAAATCCAGCCCTGAGACTGTACACGAGCCGCAAGGAAGGAGGCAGAGGACTAGTGAGTGTGAGAACCACTGTCCAGGACGAAACAACTAAGATCCATAAATACATCAGGGACAAAGCCTCAACAGACAATGTGCTCAGTGAATGTCTCAGACAACAGGGAACGGAGGTTGAGGTGCCAGAGATACCATCATGGGAGGACAAGCCCCTACATGGGATGTACCACCAGCAAATAACCCAAGTGGCTGATATCAGTAAATCCTACCAATGGCTGGAAAAAGCTGGACTCAAGGACAGCACAGAGGCCCTCATCCTGGCCGCCAGGAACAGGCCCTAAACACCAGAGCAATAGAGGCCCAGATCTACCACACCAGACAAGACCCAAGGTGTAGGTTGTGCAAGGAGGCCCCTGAGACAGTCCAGCACATCACAGCAGGGTGCAAGATACTGGCAGGGAAAGCGTACATGGAACGACATAACCAAGTGGCAGGCATAGTGTACAGAAACATCTGTGCAGAATATGGACTGGAAACCCCGAGATCAAAGTGGGAAACACCCCCAAAGGTGGTGGAGAACGCCAGAGCTAAGTTCCTGTGGGACTTCCAGATCCAGACAGACAAAATGGTAATGGCGAACCAACCAGACATTGTCGTAGTGGATAAACATCAGAGGAAAGCCGTGGTAGATGTAGCAATACCAAGTGATTGCAACATCAGGAAAAAGGAGAAACTGGAGAAATACCAGGGCCTCAGGGAAGAACTGGAGAGGGCCTGGAAGGTGAAGACCACAGTGGTGCCTGTGGTCATCGGGGCCCTCGGGGCAGTAACCCCCAAACTGGAGCAGTGGCTACAACAGATCCCAGGAACAACATCAGACATCTCAGTCCAGAAATGTGCAGCAGTCCTTGGCACAGCCAAGATACTGCAGGACCCTCAAGCTCCAGGCCTCTGGTAGAGGACCCGAGCTCAGAGGATGAGAAGAGAATCTTTATATCATATATATATATATATATATATATATATATATATATATATATATATATATATAACTGAGGAACCTTGTCAGTTTTCCAAAGTTTCAATATTACTTTTTTGGCTATTACCATGCCATACATCACCGTCATTTGCAAAGAGTAACTGCAGTTCCTCAAAGGAGAACAATGCAATCCGAGGGTCAGGAACCAACGCGCATCCATAAACCTCAGAAAACAAGTTGAAAATCTCACACCAATAATGAAAGAGCTTGGGGAATGTCCAGAACAAATGAGATAGGGAGCCATCCACTGACTTATATTTATCACATTTTGAAGATGTCGAAGGAAATATCCTATGAAACACTGAATTAACTGATGTCTTATATTGAAAGAGCACGTCCGAATCCTCCCAAAACCCTCCTCCACAGCCCTAAAGGCGTGTGTGGTAAAGTTAATTCACTCCACAAAGACGTCAACAAAACTCATGATTAATTTTTTCAATCCCGGAGAGCCCCGCAAAATTTTGTATAATTTATTTTCTTCTGGGAGAGATATGAAATTCGGAATATAAGTTTGAACATGATTTCCAACTTGTACATATCTGAAGGAATCCATATCTGGAAGAGAAAAACATCTCTTCAGCATAACAAATTAAGTAAACTTTTTGTTTATGTGCACATTTTTCAGAGTATTAAGGCCTTTTAATCTCCAATTTGTAAAGGACGTATCCAATAGTGATGGTGGAAAAGCATGGTTACAGTAAATTGGAGCATGAACTGTGGTCTCTGGTAACTTACAGTGCAACTTAATTTGTTTCCATATTTTCCAAGAGTTTAAAATGATCAAATTATTTACCCCACCAATTGCAGGAGATATTAGTACTTCGAAAAGAAGAGCCGGGAGAGAACTGTCATGAACACCACTTCTTTCACCAGCCACCCATGGGGAGGAATGTACAGACAGTTCTGGAGCATCACCTTCCTGCCAGTGTACTCTTGTATTTGCTGCCTAAATAATAATGCTGAAAACAAGTCAAACCCAATACCCCCATCTTGGTTTATGTCAGTGAATTTTTGATATTCTATGGGCTTTAAATCTCCAAACAAAAGGCAGAATTATTGAGTCTAACGATTAAAAAAAAAGCCTTTGTTAAAAAATAGGTAGACCCAGAAAAAGATATAAAAATTTAGCATTTATACGTTCCATTACTGATAGAGGAAGTGTTTTCCATTTATCAATGTCTTTTTGAAGATTCTCCACTTTTTCAAAAAAATTCTATTTCAACATTTGTTTAGGGTCCTTTGGCAGAATAACCCCAAAATATGTCAGTTTGCCCGTTATCTTAAATGATAGGTTATCTAAGAAGTCGGAAGTGAGGCTTGCATCTAATGACATAAATTCACTCTACTGTCAGTTAATAGTACAACCTGAAATCTCACCGAATGACTGAATAAGGTCTAGGAGTATTTGCACTGACTGCTCAGGATGTGATCTGAAAACCACAACATCATCAGCATACAATGAAACGTGATGGTCAATGTTTCCTGATTGAATCGATTTGATTAAGGGGTGTTTTGTAATACTGATGGCGAGGGGCTCCATAGTGACCGTGAAAAGCAAGGGGATAAGGGGCAACCCTGACTGGTTCCCCGGTGTAGCGGAAAGGGCTCCGACTTGTCCTGGTTTGTGAGGACAGAGACAGATGGATGAGCATACATTGTTTTAATCCAAGACACAAATTTAGCACCGAACCCAAACTCCTTAAGAATAGTCAGGATGCAAGGCCACGCTAATTGGTCAAATGGTTTTTCAGAATCAAGGCAAAGAGCTACTCCCTTAAACCTACTGTCATATTTATGCATAATGTTCATTAACCGTCTGATATTAAAAAATGAAAACCTATCAGGACAAATGAGAACCTATTTGGTCTGGGGTACAATAGAGGAAATATGTTTCTTTAACTTATTTGCAAGTATTTCAGTGAATATTTTAATGTCAGAATTTAATAATGAAATAGGGTGGTATGATGAAAGCTCTGTCTCCTCCCTGCCTTCTTCATGTACTAAATTTATATTGGCTTCAAACATGGTAGAGGGAAATTTACCTGAGTCAAAAGAATGAGTGAACATCCTCCAAAGGAGAGGAGCAATCCTCTCAGCATATCTTTTATAGAGTTCAATTTTAAAACCATCAAGCCCTGGGGCTTTGGCATTGGGAAATGATTTGATTACATAAAGGATGTAATGTAATCAAGTGATATCTGCGTTGAGAGCCTCTCTTGAGGCTTCACTCATCTTAGGGAGAATTAGATCTTTGAGTCAGTTTGAGATATTGCC